GAAGTGAGAATGTCTAGGTCTCTCCCTTTCCTGTCCTTCTTTGAAAAGCAAGACACTTAACTTTTCATAATTTAAAAATCCTGCCTAACTTCTGGGAGCATTAGAATTCCTAGACTATGACTGAGTGTCAGTGTGCGTCTGCTTTAAATGTCAAGAGAGTCTTTAATAATAACACGTGGAGAATGTTAAGATGGTGACAGAACACAATAAAAAAAAAAAAGACCAGGAAATTCTTCGATTGGGGTGAAATGAGCCGTAGATTCTACCACCCAAATGCTGCACTCAGTAATAGAGCAAGGTTCAAAGTTTTCACTAGTGCCAACTTTGGGAGGCTTGTGAGTTACCAGAGATGGATGAAATGGGAATGTTTAGTAAATGTTTGGTCTGATAGGAGAATTTGAGTGGCTGCTGTGGGGGTGGGAGGGTGGGGGTCTTTTTCTTTTGATTATATACTTCAGAAAGCAGCCTATCCTAACTAAGTCACTGAACAGAACTCTGCCTAAGGCCAGAGTAAAAAGAAATTATTTGGGATATATACAGTGGCTGGTTAGAGCAGACTCAACCTGTGGGGAGACCATAGTGTCTACTCACCTGATTTTATGTGGACACTGGGGGATCCTTATTATAAAGTGCTTCCTTCTAGAGCTTTCCCTCAGAGGGTTGGTTGGCTTCAACAGGGTTAAGTGAGACCTACAGTTCTGTGGGGATCACCGTCATGGGAATTACCCACTTGCCTAATATAATACGTTGGGTGCCCGTTAAAATGTTCATTCTCACTCCTCATACCTTGGGGTGGGATGGGGTTGAAACCAGGATCTTTGTGTCATAGTCTTCCCTAGCCAACCCTCATAAACTAGGATGCTAGTAATACTAGAAATGCTCTTCTCAGCTCCATGACTTCAACCTGGGGGCCTCAGTTTCCCCAACTAAAAAGACAGGAATAGGACCCCCAACTCCTTCATGGCCACAATCATCCCTGTTCACGGAAAGGAATGGCTTGATGCTCCATCTTTTCTTCTGTCCCTAGAAAGTTAGCCTTTGCCACATGGAAAGGCCTTCTTTAATTTCAGTTTTGTTTCTCCTGGGTAAGCACTCCCAGAATGGATGTAAAATGATTAGTCCTCCCAATCACAGGGAGAATAAAGATGTGAAATGAACCCCACACCCTGTTCCCTCTTCTCTGCTGAAAGAATGAGTTTAATCTCCTGCATTTTTATCCCTGAAGAAGCTGAATGGAGCTCCTAGCCTTGGGCAGTCATCACTGCTCCGGAGCAGTGGACGAGTTCAGATTGTCCCAGCCTAGGCATCTGAAGCGTAATTTGAAGCCATGGCTAATAGGAGAGGGGATGGCCTATATCAGCCATAGGGGGAACACATTTGCCCAGAATGAGGGGAAGACACAGGAAGAAGCAGAGACATAAATTCGTGAGAAGTGGCCTTCGCCTTCACTAAGTTTGCTTCAATCCTCTTCGGTTCTTTAAGACATAGAAACTATTTGTCTTCCCATTTCCTCCACCTGCATTCTCTTCTGAACCCCTTAGGTAGATACAGATTCTAAACGCATATTCAGCCAGTCTAGTCTAGACTAGACCGATTTAACTTTAAAAAAAAAAAAGATATTTTTAAACATCCATGAAGCATTAATCGCTTGTTCTGTGCAAAACTTCATCTCTTCAGAACAACCCTTCAGAGTTCAGAGATAATTATTCCGTATTTAGAAAGGAGAGATGAAATACTTAGGAAGGTTATATAATACGCTCAGTCAAATGCACACCAGGATTTGAACACAGTACACTGTGATTGTTGTATCCATGACCCTCATTACTCCCATTCAGCCATCTTTCCACAAATATAATGTACAAACTTTTTATTAAAATATCCCTTGCTTGAGCAGCAACCTCTAGCATAGAGCTCTCTGTAATACTTTTTATTTTTTTAAATGCATAGTTATTCTCTCCCCGATAGTGCAGCTTTTAGAGAACAAATCTCTTTTGATATCACTTTAAAAAAAATTGAAGTTGACCTTTGGACTGAATTTCTCCATCTCTTTTTCTTGGTATTTCATGAAAAATGCAGCATAGGCCAGAATGTGGGGTTACTCATGCTAGTATAAAATGCTTGTATTCTCTTAATGCAGAGTTCTGGCAAAAAAGATGGGGATGATGAGCTCATGGAATGATGGCATCAAAAGTAATAAAGAATGTGGGAGCCTTTTTGAAGGGCCAGCCAGTCTAGCAAATGCAAGACAGCCATTGTAGAAGGTGAATGTGGTTGGGATAGGTGTGGTGGTTTTTGCCTTAAGCATAAACAAGTACATTTGGCAAGTATCTTCCTTTATTTGTTGATATCATTCTTATTAAGGCTATCACTGATTAAATACCTAGCACACATCCCAGGATATAGTTTTTGTCAGTGTTTTCACTCACCAAACAGAAAAACAAAAGCTGGATTTTTTTGCCTTCTTAGGTCACTTTACCCATCTTTGAAGAAATAGAATTAACGTAGTCGAATTGAGATTCCTTGGACCTTTAGTGGGATGATAGATTCTCTGTTCTGGAAGAATATGAACACATTCCCTATGGTTTTACCTTGAGGGTTGCACACATGACTGTGTGTATGAATTCTAGGCATGTGTGTGTACACACACACACACACACAGTTTCTGTTCTACCTTAGCCTGACTAGTAAGAAGGTTGATTCATTAAATATTAAATGCTTGCATGGAGAGCAAATGCTCACTTTTGATGCTGGACTTTTTTGGGGAGAGGGGGGAGCAGAGCTAGTCCTGGGGCCTGAACTCCAGACCTGTGTGATGTCCCTCAGTTTTATCTGCTCAAGACTAGTTCGCTGCCACTTTAGCCAAAGCTCTACTTCTGGCTTCTTTGGATGGTTAATTGGAGATAGTCTCAGAGTTTCTTGCCTGGTCTGGCTTTGAATCTTGATCCTCAGATCCCAGCTTCCTAAGTAGCTAGGGTTACAGGCGTGAGTCGCTGGTGTCTGGCTTGATATTGGGCATTTAGATTTTTTGTTGTTGTTGTTAACCCAGCATAGTGTCTGTAATCACTATATCAGCAGCGTTCCAACCAAATTAAGAGCCAATCAATATGTAGCAGACTTCAGTAAATATTGCCTTTTCAGGGTGTCAACTACTTCTTGTTTTTGAAGAGCCACAGTTTTAAAACTCAGTTTTCAAAAATATTTTAGCAATTCTAATATTTTTAAGGAGAACATTTAACAAACAAAAATGAATTAACTGTAGAAAAATTCCATTTCCAACATTTTAATTGTTCTAACCGAGCCACTTTGGAAAACCAAATTCCTTTAGCATTATGTGTTCAGAGAATCTTTTTATTTTGGCAGTTCAATAACTTAGTAAAGAACAGAGAGCGAATAACATAAAGTAGCTCCTAATATGGCATCATTTTCATTTCCTGTTTGTTGAAAGATAAACGCTAACACTGTAAGGCTTTTTTTTTTCCTTCTCCTTAATTTATTCTTCTCCGAACCACCAGGGGATAAAAAGGAATAAAAAATCAAATGTGATATGGCTCTCAGGCTGAGTCATCGAGAGAGGAGAAGCCAAAAGCTGCTTCTCTCCCTTTCCTTTTCCTCCATCTTTCCCTAGTTCCTGACTCCTTCCCCCTCAGAAAATAACTTTCTTTAAAAGTTGGAAACACATTCAATTTTAGAATTCAAAAAAAAATATTTTTTTTAAGGATTTAAGTTAAACTGATGCGGAAGCAATGGATCTCTCCTTCATTCTAAGACTTGGTTGTAGAGAAACGTTCTCTGAAAGCACTGGAATAAAACGGCCTGTACATGCATTCTCTCTTTCCTTCCCTCCTTGTCTTTCCCCTTTCCTCTCTAGTTCCTCTCTTCTTCCCTTTCTCCTCTCTTTCTCCCTCCTCTCTTATCTCTCCCTCCCATCAGTCTCTTCTACATTTCCCCTAATGCCACAGCTGCTCCTTTAACAGCATCTTTCTTTAGACCCCTACCTCCAGCTGCCTCCTAATAACAAAGTTATTTTTGCATTAACAGTGCAAAGCACAAGTAGCATCTGACAAGTAATATAGGAGTGTGTACTGTGTGTATCTCTGTAGCTTCAGAAAGATAACCGGGTTTTTTTGTTGGGTTGGTTGGTTGTTTGGCTGGTTTTTTGTTTTGTTTTGTTTTTTTTGTCATGTGGCTTGAACTCAGGACCTGAGCACTATCCCCAACCTCAAGGCTAGCACTTTACTACTTTGAGCCACAGCTCCACTTCTGGTTTTCTAGTGGTTAACTAGAGATAACAGAGTCTCAGAGACTTTCTTACCCAGGCTGGCTTCAAACCGCAATAATCAGATCTTATCCTCCTGTAGCCAGGATTACCGGTGTCAGCTACCAGCACCTGGCAATAACTTTGTTTTTAAATGTATTTTAAACCTACTGGAATTACTGAGAAAACATACCCTTAGATATGTAGTAAACAAATGAACGGCTCTCTGTTGGTTTACAGATGAGAGCTGGTCAGCCTTCTTAACCCTGCTCTCTCTGTGAGTGTCACCTGCCGGCACCGTGTTCATTTTTGCCTCCCTGTAAAGAAAGATGAAGCTCGCTTCCCATCCAGGTGTTTCTTCACCACCACAACTGATAAATTTATGAGTTTTAGCTAGCTAGCTAGCTCATTTTCCTCCAGCCTCTCATGAATAAGGCTGGCTAATGGGCATGATTCACTTTTAGGCTTTGAGCTGTCCGTGTTCCACATGATTCCTTGGTGCCAGCAGGTCTAGAACTTCCCATTTAAAGCCTAATGTGTGGTGTGTTGAGAAATCTCACCCCAACACCTCCAGCTACTGAGAGTTTGGCAGTGGTCCTGTAGATTTCAAAGATGCTTGGGCAATGAAAAAGGATTTTGTCATGGGCTATGGTGCCATCGTTTTTTGAAATATGTATAATTTTAGATGTTAACATGGTTATGCACCTGGAGTCAAAGAAATGACAGAGCCTTTTCTTCCCCCTAGCTTGCAAAAGACAAAGAACGCCTGCAAGCCATGATGACACACCTGCATGTGAAGTCCACAGAACCCAAAGCTGCCCCTCAGCCCGTAAGTACTTGTTTTCAAAACAGGGAAGATCAAAATGAACTTCCAATTGTCTTTCCCTACTTCCCGTGCACCTGTGTCTTTCTGGTTCCCTTTTAAGTCCAAGTCAAGATGCTAGTAGGCATGTAAGGAGACACAGAAGGAGGCAAACCTGGTCCTGGTCCATTAGACCCAAGTCATCTGCTCTGGAACAGAGTGATTGGTGCGAAACTAATGGACTCAAAGCCTTTCTACAAACCTACTGGGAAAAGAAACTCTTTCCAAATGCCAGAAACAGGGAGAAAACGGTAGACCGTGATAGCAAAAGAGCCTGGGTCAGCAAAGACAATGATGTGTGGGAGAGTTACAAGGCGTGGTTCTACCTAATCATAACAGAGAAAAGAAATCAGAAAGCACCTTGCAAAATTGTTAGAGGCTAAATTATGGACACCATCAAGTGGTTTCTAAAGACTGAAGAGAAAATCACTCGCTCACAGCTGAGGGACCAAACATGAAGCACAGAGAAGACCTCTGTTTTAGGAATCTCCTGTTTCTTTTCTTATTCTCTTCTATTGGACCTTGAAGTGGGATACCTCAGCTCAGGAACTGATACCAGGGCAGAAGGGAAAGGATCTAAACCCCGCATCCAAACTTGTGCATACTTCCCTACCTTACATCCATATCTACTGCAGCTATATCACTCAGATGCTTAGATCCCTTAAAAAAAAAAAGTCCTAGTAGCCATAGTTGATTATTCAAAATGGAGACAGTGCTTTGCTTCCTGATTTTAAGATTTGTAAAATTTAAAGGTACACTGCCTTTATTTGATTTTGCTGGGAGTCGCTGTGTGAAAATTAATTGAGCGTTGACAATCTATAGTTAGTACCAGCAATTTTAATCAATATGCAATGATGCAGCATAATGGCAAAGTATTGGTTTATCTGTTTTGACTGATTTTTTTTCTATAAATAAAGCAAACATACACCCATATATGTATGATTTATGATGATAGAAATAAAACGGAGTCAGACTATTAACCCAGCAAATATGGTAGCTTGCCAAGATGCAGTTGGCAGACAAAATTAATGTCTGAAACAGAACACATTACTGAGATATAGGACATAAAATCATTAAACACTTCGCGCATCCATTTTTACTAGGAAAGAGTCCTTAGTTTCCATGTATTTCACAGTAAATGGCTAGAGGACCGGATGGGTTAGGCTACCAGATAGCAAGTAGGGAGAAAAACAGAGCCAAGCCATTCAGTGTGGTAGAGCCAGCGAGTAGATGTGTTGCTCCTATTAATTCCTCCTTTCAAGAAGAACACGGGGAACAACATGAACCCAGCTAAGCAAATTTGTGAGTCCCTGAAATGACTTGGCTGGCTTCTAGAACAAGCTTAGGCAATTCATTGCACAGGGAAGTGTCTGCCTTGGAACTTTCTGAGAGTCTTCAGATAGTTTTAGCGAAACAAAATTTGTTCCCCCAGAATCAAAGCTTTGAAACCCGGTCAAGAAGGAGTAAACAATGAGAAAATAATAGCTGGACTTAGCCTTATGGTAATGGGCTCATTTTGGATCATGGGATTCCAGGGGCAGAAGAGGGATATATCTAAAGAGATGCAGCTTCAAATACCCATAATGCCCTGAGCAAGTGGTGGGGCTGGATGACTCTATGTATGGGAGTCTGCCTGTCCCCTGGATGGTCATTGGCAATCTCCATGTGACTAGCGCTGAGCCATCCACCAGCATGAAAAAGCAGCTTTTGGTAGGAGATAGAGGGAGGGGGAGAAGGTTTGTCTTGATTAGTAGTGGGGGAAAAAAAAGTGTTTTACATTCTAGGAAATTATAACTTTGAAGGGGACCTCCTACTAAATTTATTTTTAACTGCTCTATTGAAAATTCTCTACCACTAGTCAACATTATCTCTTCGTAAGCTCAGCACAGTATTTCTTTATTAAAAGAAATAGGCACGAATATTTTTGACTGAAAAATTAATAGCTTTTGAATTCATACACAGCGGGTTTTCTTTTGCAAAGAAGTCCAATATCACTGCACAGCACTTCTGTAACCATTTATTTAGAGTCCAAGTCAAACCTTTGACAGCTAGAGCAGCTCTACAAGCCGATATAAAGAACTCCAAGATGTAAACCAACAATAGGCCGTCTGTGTGAGGTTTGCCATTGTCAAATACATAGATTGTTTGGATTAGTTTATGTAAATGTACTGTTGTATTACCCTTTAAAAAAAAAGATCACATTTGTGTATGAAAGTGGTTCTCTTCACAGGCAGCATTATAAATTCCTTCTCCTTTAACTCACATGTAAGAAGTAAAAATTGGGGCCTGACAAGCAGATATTGTGTGACATTCTGTTGTCGGAGTGAACCTGCCTTCTTTTCATTTATTGGAAAATAGAAAATTTTATTATAGATACCATCTTATAAATCAGGAATTATTAAAAATATGTATAGGTGAGGCATTGGGAAATTAATTATAAAAGATAGACGTGTAATGTTTTGCATGAATTTTCCCTTCCTTGCCAAGAGAGAGAGAAAGAGAGAGAAGACACATATTGCAAACCGTTGATTCTTTCAAATCGAAGGACCCTGAGCTATCTGGTGACTGATCCAAATGTGCAAAATATTTCCTGCAGTCTGTAATTAATTTATTCCACCCTAAATAATAGAATGCCTGGTATAGGTTTGAATGCATAGCCTTCTCGAATCTGTGGTTTGAAACAAGCAGTCACTGTGATTTAATTCTAGCCCTAGATAGGGACCTTCCTGTTCGACTTTTGCCAGTGAGTTTATAAAGTTGTTTCTTCTTTCCATTTCTGTGCAAAAGGAACACTGTGTTTATTTAAGAATTCTTAGTCACTAAGTGATAGAATGCTTGCTGTATATTTGCCTTTCACTAAATGCCCTTTGGGTGGTAAGTGACTTTTGTTGAATGCAATCATCTAACCCAGCCCTGCTTCGCTGAAGCAAAGCAGCTGCCAACACATTCTCAGATGTGTTTCTTCCATCAGCTCAGAGATGCGTTTTCTGGATCCCAGTGTGGGATCTGGATGGTTAGAGGGTGTGCTCATCTCAGGACAGCACCCCAGGGTGTTGATGGGGATCTGAGCTCTACCCACACTGGGAAGGAAGCTGAAGACTGCCTGGAACACCAGTTCCCAGGCTTCCTGCCCCAACCTCCTTCAGTACCATGTCTTCCTGCTGATCAGCACATTTCCTGCTGGAAGAGTTCGATTGAAAACCGTAGACTCAAAAGTGCAGTTGTGTTTGGAAAGGGAATTTCCGCATGCACAATCCAGCTCTTCTAGCAACAAATATCTTGGGCAAGGCTACAGACTGAACATAGAGTAGTCAGATGGAAAAGGCTCGTTGTTGCCACAAAAATGGCTTGTGAACCAAACTAACAACACAAATTACACACACACACACATACAGACACACACACACACACACACGAGAGTATGTGCACTATGCAGTTGTAAGTTGAGCAGGTTCCTGGAATGCTGGAGTCAAGGACAACTTGTCAGACACATGAAGTCTCATCTGAAACTTAACACAACACATGAGATGGAAGAAGGAAGTGAGCAGCTTTCTGGATCTTCCCTTGGGTGAACAGTAGATGCACAGGCCTGTGTGCCCCCAAGAGAAGAAGATGGTTAATGAGAGTCAGTATGAAAGAACAACAGGAACTGCTCACCTCACCCCCAAATAAGTTTTTCACACATGTAATAAGACTAGACCTTGCATGGAAATAGGTCTGTGAGCATTTAGGAGAGCAGCCACAGGTAACAGTTGTGGACAGGTTGGTCATGGGGCTTGAACTGAGGGCCTTGGCACTGTCCCTGAGCTTTTTCTCTCAAGGTGAGCGCTCTACCATTTTGAGTCACAGCACCATTTTTGTTTTTTTTCTGGTGGTTAATTGGAGATAAAAGTCTCACAGACTTTCCTGCCCCAGCTGGTTTTGAACTGGGATCCTCAGATCTCAGTCTCCTGATTTGCTAGGATTACAGGTGTGAACCACCATCACCTGGCTGGAGAGGCTATTCTTGACACAGCTTCAGAAAGGCCAGACTTGTTGAACTCAAGTTTTCTAAGCTTCTCTGCTTTCCCATGGAAAGAGAAGCAATGGCATAAAAGAAGAAATCGGTGCTAATGACAATGACTGCTGTTCTGTGGTTCCAGCACTGGTTTGGAGTAGTTTGGATGTTGCATGGTACTCTTTGCTTACTCCAAGAACAGGCTCAGAAACGTCAATAGAAAAGAATTGGGTCTGTTACAGCTTTGTGAAGTAGTTAAGGATTTCCTGAAAAAGACTTCACTCTCTGTAATGTCACCAGATCCTATGAGGCTTCTTTTTATGATTTGGAAGAGGAGAGAGGGAGAGGTCTTCTCCATGCTGTGGGGAGTTTCTGCCCTCTGAGATCCACTCGCCCTTTGTAAAGCAACCGCATTCTTTCAGATTTGGTGGATGAAGTAATTACAGAGTAGGTAGTTGAGCCTTCTTTATGAAAATATCATAAAGCACACTTGGAATGGAATATAGCAGTAGACATTTTTTTTCATTTTTACACGTTTTTCTTTTACTCACACCATAGCAATTAGGACTGTTTTGCAAGAGCTTTTAGCTACTTATAAAAACAAAGTGCCTCTCTCTAAAATTAAAAAAAAATGGCCTGTTAACTCTTCAAGGAACCGCTGGGTCATGTGGAATGCTGGGGTTTTGCTTTGGAATTGGAGAAAACTATTTCATCGACTTTTTTTTCAAGTCCTCCAGCTCACCTCAACTGAAGTGTAGTAGTTTAGACCAGCAATGCAATGGTAGTCTTAGTCTCTAACACAGGGGCCAGGCTCAGCCCAGGAACCAGGCCTCTGCCACAGGGTAGTTAAAGCAGGACTTGAAGGGTTCAGGCTAGCAGAGCAGACAGCAGAAAAACCAGTTCTGTGAGCCTGGGAACCCCTGCTAAGCAGCGCTGTTCTGTCTGTCCCTGGGTGTTTGGGTTTCAGGTT